AGAACTTGCCGATTTGGAGCAGCGTAGTCTTGCACAGGTATTTTTTCTCGCTTTTATCATTTTGGAAATCTTTTTTATTGTCTCCATGTTTGTTTTTGGATTGTCATTGTGAAGTTGTCGATGATATTTGAGAATTCGAACATACGTAAAATACAGCTGTCTCCTGTTTTCCTAATTTCTTGGGCTATCTATAACAATAATTATCCACAACTAATTAGGCCTGCCTGTAGTGAAAACACAGGGTTTCTTTCCGACCTTGAATTTTTGGAGTTTCCTATTGTTACTAAAGGTGACAGTAGGTATATTTATGCGATAGCAATAATAAAAAAAGCGGTGGGAGGTAAGATCTGATGTTGGCGGACGACGTCCTGATGTTGGCAGACGGCATCTGGTCGGTACGAAAAAAATGTTGACACTAAAAATTTGCCGGAAAAATCGGCTACTGAGCCCATCTGGAGTTCCGTCTTGCTCCAGCTTATAAAAAAGAGCTGCACACATAATTAATGTTGTTGCCGCTGATTGACGGCGGCACCGTTATCACGAAGGAGACCACGGTATCGCAAAAAATACCAACTGATGTTAATTTTGTATCTCTTCTTTGTTTCCTTTCCCCGTTCGAGGCGCTTTTCCTCGACACTGCCACCACTTCGGAAAATCGTACAAGTCTTCCATTTTGCCGTGGGTACGGTTCACTCACGTTGGTGAGCACGGCGCAGCGGCAAGTAGCGTTGCTGTCATGCTGAAGCTGTAGGTCGAGGGTTCGGTTCCGCGACTTGAACAACCAATTTTTTTTGCGATTTGGTTTTATAGTAACTTGAATCTGACGCATGGCAGAGGGTTAAAACTCCTCTTATTAGCTTTCTACACCTAACTATTGGTGTTTTGTCAGCGCATGGTTACTTTGAGCAAATGCTATGCTGCCATTTCGGTTACTTCTGAGCGCCTCCACATTTTATACAGGGCGAATATGAAAGGAGTTTTAACCCTGGCTGTTTATTTATTTGTTATATCTGTTAACTGTGGACAAGGCAGATGAACCGTTTTTAATGTAAATACTCGAATTTTCAAAATTTTTCGAATTTTTTGAAAATTTAGGCA